TACTGGACTGAACATTCATCCCTTGGACCAAAGAATCCCAGATTATATTCCAGTCAAGGGCATGAATCTCAGTTGCAAACTCAATCACTGGCCCTGGTCAGGGCATGTGCAGGAGGCAACCAATCTATGTATTTCTCTCTGTATTTTCCCCTCCCACTTTCTCTTAAAAAAAAAAAAAAAGAAAGAAAGAAAAGAAAAAGAAAAATATTCCTTAGGTTAACAACATATCCTTAGGATTAACAACAAGAAAAATTTACATACCTTAATTCAAAATGCTTTTTATTGCTAAAAATGCTAGCATTAACCTCAGCCGTCAGCAAGCCATAAATTATTTATGTGTTAAGGGTCGACCTTAATTTATAAGGAGTGTAATAGTAGCAAAACTCAAAGTGAAGTGCAACAAAAACCAGGTGTAGTAAGCCTTCACTTAACAGCATGGATAAGATAATGCAATGTGATAAAAACAACACATTTTACCACAGGCTAATTGGTAAATATGAGTTAAGCTCCCACCACATCTCATAAACATTATAACAAAACTAGTAGCCCTATGCACAATGAAGGATTGAAGATTTGTACAAAAATGGGCCTTTATTCCCCTGGCTGCCTGCACAGCCTTTGTTCTGGCCAGAACAGCGTTTCCATCAGGCCGAGAGCTGCCTTTCTGCCTTCCCAGAAGTCCCGAGTGGCTGGGTGATGCAGAACGCCTGTATCGCAGCCATGGAGATGATGATCCGGCCAGTCCCAGCCACCGGGCACATGTATATGCAAATTAACCTGCCAGCTCTATGTTGGGTTAGTTTGCATACTCACTCCTGATTGGCTGGTGAACATCACAAAGATACGGTCAATTAGCATGTTACTCTTTTATTAGGTAGACAAAGTTGAACAAAACTATCTACCTAATAATAGATAAACATGTAAATTGACTGTACTTCCACTACTCCACCAGTTAATCAGGAGTGATATGCAAACTAACCCAACAAAGATGGTGGTTAATTTGCATACACAGGTGCCAAGTGACGGGGCAGGTGGGATGCAGGTATCCTGTCCCACCCTCATATCCCAGGGCCTCTGGGCAGAGTGGGGAGGTGGAGCTGGAGTGGAAGGAGGTGGCTCTGGCCACCAGGGAAAGGAAAGCCCATTCTAGCACGAATCTGTGATGCATCGGGCTTCTAGTCCTATATAATAAAAGGGTAATATACAAATTGACCAAATGGCAAAACAACCAGTTGCTATGACTCGCATTGACCACCAGGGGGCAGATATTCAATGTAGGAGCTGCCCCTGATGGTCAGTGTGGTCCCACAGAAGGATCATCACTCAGCCAGAAGCCCAGAAGCCTGGCTCATGGCTGGCCAGTGCAATAGCGGTGATGGGAACCTCTCCCGAATTTGAGACAGCACTAAAAATGTACAACTGATAGCTTAGGCTTCCTCACAGGGACTGGGACTAAGCCATCAGTGGTACATCCCCCAAGGGCTCTCGGACTGTGAGAAGGCACAGGCCAGGATAAGGAGACAGCCACCCTTGAGTGCATGAAAGTTGTCCACCGGTCTCTAGTGTTATATAAGGACTACTATATTCCTGTAATTACTTGGTGTTATTCAATTAGTTGTATCGCCAAAATTGAGATGGCCAAGTAGAATTGGAATTTCATAAAAGGGAAGTTATTCTTAGAAATTTCACCTTACATCCTATGAATATGCAGTTTTGCATTCCCACTAGATATATGTGCAATTTCTTCACAAGTTCCACTCAATTTCTTCCTTTCTCCTATACTGAATTGCATAATTTGCCCTTACAGCCACCATGAAGATGATGAGGTTACCTTTATTAGCAATCATCACACTTAAAATTATCTTTTCCCACAAGCCAGTTTCAATTACCTAATTTAGACAATACTTTATGAGCTCATAGAGTAGCTATTATATAACTACTAAAGGCCAGGTACACAAAATTCATACACTGGGGGGGGGGGGGGGGGGGATGGGAGGGTGGGACAACTCTCAGCCCAGCCTGCACCCTCTCATAGTCCATGAACTCGCAGGGAGTGGGCCTAAACCAGTGGTCAGCAAACTCCTTAGTCAGAGCCAAATATCAACAGTGCAACAAATCAACAAATGAAATTTCTTTTGAGAGACAAATTTTTTAAACTTAAACTACTTCTACTGTCACTTCTTCAAAATAGACTCACCCAGGCCATGTTATTTTGTGGAAGAGCCACACTCAAGAGGCCAAAGAGCCGAATGTGGCTGGCGAACCACAGTTTGTCAACCACGGGCCTAAACCATCAATAGAACATCCTTAGCAGTTGCTTTGTATATTAGCCTTTTATACCTGCAGGATCAGGCTGAAACCCACTCTTTCATATCCCCTGAGGGGTCCTGGATTGCGAGAGGGGTCAGGCCAGGCCGAGGGGCCCCACTGGTGCACAATTGGAGCAGGGGAGAGACAAGGAAGGTTGGCCAGCTGGGAAGGGGCCACTGGAGGGCTTCAGGGCATGCGTGGTCTGCTCAGTCCCAATTGGCCGGATACCAGCAGCAAGCTAGCCTACATTAGGCTTTTATTATATAGGATATCAACATTTATCACATAATTACAATTCTGTGAGTCTTTAGCTATCAATCCACCACGACTACTAATAAGTGAAAAAAAAATTTAACCTTTGAGATCATTTAAAAGAGAAAGACTTAGTCCTGTTCATCTTTGTTTCCAAGGTCCTAAAAAATGGAATTACCATAGGCTAAATGCTTGGTAAGGTATATAACTGAATGAGAAGAACCCACTGGTAAGCAATTCTGAGAACAAGGAAGACGGATGTTTCTGGCTCCTGTGATTCTGAGCAACCTGTCTGGGCATCCACACCCATCATCAGCCTATGTCTATGAGGCCATTACTAAGTCCAAGAGGAAGCTTAAAAATACAACCCTGACTTTGGAAAAAATTTAGTTCTGTTTCCCAATAAGAAAACCGATGATGTCTATAGGGTTGGTAAAGAGTTTGATTTTATTAATCCCTTTGTCCTTTATATAGGAAAGCTGCAGGAGATTTTCTTCACTGATTGTCAAATCAACAGGTAATGACTTGGCTGAAAAATAATTTCTTGTTCTGCAAAGGGATCCTTGTCTACCTAAATGTGTTCTGTATATCAAAACTGAACACCATGGTAACCAGTAACTGTAGTGGATTTGGTAAAATGCCTTCCATTGAATTAATCTAGAGTATGTTTATTTTTCTCTTATTCCCCTTTTGTTTTAGGCTTTTCATTGATTTATTTTATTTTAATATCCTTACACACTGACAAAGGAAATATATGATGACATAAAATAACATGTATGTCATTGAGATACTGGTTCAAAGCTGATATATAAACAATTAAGTCTTCTTTGCAGTAAGTTATATTCTACAGGTGGTTAAAGACACATTAATATTGAGAGCTCTATGCCATATTTTATATTATTTTTCTAGTTAAAAGTGAAAAGATGATTTACATTTTCAGATCATTTAAAATGATATATTTTAAAGGAAAATGAAAACATTAGCCATTTTGAAAACAACGAAGTTTGTTTAACTGAAAAGTTCTTTGAAGAAATGTCAATGCTTCTCCAACATTTAAAAGTTAAAAGAGCAAAGGAGGAAAAAAATGAAAGCAGTTACAACTCTGTGAATGTAACACCACCCCAAAATTAAAGTTGAATTTCACATCTTGTTATACAACACTAACTTTCAAGCCTCAGACTCTGGGTTTGAGCTCAGGGTAACTTAAAGTTTCAGCATCCAGACATTCACTAAAGAGATGAAATCTCGACTTGCCATAGATAGGAAGACATAACAGGAATGTAGTACAATTGTTCAAATACCCATCACACGCTCATATTGAAATTACATCTGTTTTTTTTACAACACAGGATGCTTGTAATTCCTTGGCCAGAGTTTAAACTACGTTCTAAGTCCTCAGTCACTGATCTAAGGCAACTTCTCAGCTTCCCCATCTCACAGTGTAAACAAAGTCAAAATAGCCCAGCCTATATTCTTCAGTAGTTGGCCATCGCCCTATGAAACAGGAGGTCCTGGTTGGGGCACATGCCCAGGATGTGGCCTTGATTCCCAGTAGGGTGCCTACAGGAGGCAGCCAATCAAAGATTCTCTCATTATTGATGTTTCTATCTCTTTCTCCCTCTCGCTTTCTATCTCAAATCAATAAAAATATATTGGGAAAAAATATTGCTGTGGGTCTCTAGGGATAATAGTGAGTGGCACCACTGCTACATAAAATAAATATTTCGCCATGTAGTCATTAAGTGAGTAAATAAAAGAGAATGTGCTAAAACTTCAACAAGTTAAATGTGCATGGTTAGTGTCCTGGGAAGGCCTGTCCATGGCAGAAGCCCATCAACCATTAGCTGCAAAATCATTTCATACTATGTATTTGAGTATATTAAAACCAAATAATGCTTTCACAGAAAAAAGCAGCAGAATGAGAGAAATTCACATAATACTTTAAGTTTTTAAGGATATATGGTCTATATAAGGATGAAGTCATATTAATAAACGATATAAAATGTTCACATTTGAATATGAAGATATTGAAAGGAAGGAACCAAAGACCATAGAAAAAGTTGTAAAGCTAGAACTTATCTTACTTTTTTAAATGTCAAACATAATCATAAAAATCTTATAAAATTAAGGAACTAAATAAAAATAAACAATAAGCTCTTGCCCTCCACTCTGCGAATTCATCTGGAGTTCTGACACTAAAATCTATCATCAATTTATAGCAAAGTAAGATGCAATGAACAATAAATTTATTAGGATAATTTGAATGCTTGATTTCCTCATCAGCTTAAATGCCTTCTGTGATTATGATATAAACATCTGAATTAAATGGCAGTTGCCACAAATGAAAACATTTCATTGAAAACTCTATATATCTGAGTATAAATAAAGATAAAACACTCCACATTATGATTCAATTAAAAACCTGCAAGATACATTACCTGCCGCCTCGAGCACTGAAAGGCACTACATGGATTCCCAGAGGCCCTCCATCGTTGGGGACGTGTACGAGCTTTACCATATCACTGTGAGACAATGATGAATGAGGGAGCATGAACATGGACTGTAAACAAAACAAACCGAAACAACAAAACAGAAAAACACACACAGTAACACAGACACACAATAAACAACAAAAGAGAACGAAACAAAATCCCACCAAGCACACAAGCATGTACACACATATTCTGGAATATAAGCATGGTGATGAAGGCAACATTAAACACTACATACCCGAACACTAGTCTGATGGCATGGAAGGAGAACAATCATCAGAAATAACTACATTAAAAATGACACAGAACCATTTCTCTGGGCCCATACTCTTCTGTGTAATACAACTATGCATTTTCAAGTCAAATCTCTAGATTTCCAATGAAAATTTTCTATCCCAATATTTACATTCAAGGGCATTGAAGATTAACTGAATAAAGGTGTTGCAAGCTACAGAGCACTTTATAATTTACAAAGAGCTCCTAAATATGTCACATCATTGACTCTTTCAATAATTCAATAAAGTCAAAATTTTTACTCCTGTGGTCAGGTGACAGTCCAGATGTAATCCAGCAATCCTGACTTTCCACCATTCCATAACAATTTATTAATAAGTTGCCATTTCTTAAACCACTGCAAGTGCAGGTCATGAAACTCCTTTTTCAAAGCTAACAGATTTCCAATAAAAAACAAATCATTTTCATAAAAGTGTTTGAAAATGGAAGTTAAAGTAAAGTAATGAAGCTAGTTATATAAGTAACTTCTATTATATAACTTAAGTAATTTACTATTAATGTAATAAGCCCAAGTTTAATGCAAGCTGGTATAATTTAGAGAATGCAAACTTTCTAAACTATTTAAATGAGATTTCACTTCCTTTGCAGATTTTGTTTGCTTGTGTGCTCCTGTGCGCGTTCACGTGCATGCGCACGCTGGGGAAGGGGAGAGTGGGAGGATACTCTATTGAAATCTAAGCAGTGCTTATCTAATAGGCAATATTTGGAAGTAGTATTTTAATTAAATACCTAGTTTAAGCAACACCAACAACCATAAATGATTATCAATAGATTTGACAAAGGTCATAATATAGTTTTTTATATAATGGAAAATGCCAATTCTTAAACTGCCTAAATAAAAGAAAAGTACTGGCTGAAAACGAAATTGAAATACATTTGTGCACAGATTTAATCATATATACTAATTAGGACAAAATAAAAAAATTAGCTATATTAAAGTAACAATAAATAAATTTTTATTTTTAAGAATATTCTCATAGAATTTTATACCATCCTATTTTAGATACTATTTACCATTTACACAGTTTTTAATGATTGGTTTGTCCACTAAGAATAGTGTAGTTACTCTAATTATTGCTATTTTACATTTTCTCTAAAAAGAACTAGGAAATGGCAAGTATTTCTTAAAAGAAAATACTGAGTGCTGGTTACTCCATATCCAAACATAATCTGATTCCAGTGCCTAATCTCACTGAGAAAGTTCTTAGAACCTTCCCTTGGTAGACCCAAAGAAGAAAAAATTTAAATGTTAATGCCTAGATCCCCTAACTTTTACCCATAGTCATTTAAACATGCCAATATTTAAAATAATTGCACAGTTGTGATAATAATATAAGAAAATTTCACTCCGTCCTTTCATACTTAAAATCATGTTCAGGTCCCTAACCTATGACCTATAATTTTTCAAATTCCTTGAGAGATTCTATTTTTTAAATCAAAATATAAATGCTAAAATAGCTAATGCTTATATGATTCAAATAGTTTTTCAGTTAAAGTATGTTTATAATCTTTTTAATTTAGATAAGTTGAACAACAAATGACCAAAATACTGACCTACAAAGCAATCTGAAAACAGTTGTAATGCTGTAAACACAGCAAACATTTTTAATCAAACACTATTTTATATTCTAACTTAATAGTATTTGGCAAGGCATGAAACTCAGGACAGAGAAATGTGAATTTCCATGCTATTCTTTTTACATTAGATAATAATTAACACAATCAATGAAAGATGCTCTTTGGAAAACAAATTAATGCAAGGCATGTTTTTAACTCAGCACAAACATCCCACACAAGCCATGTTTTTGGAACACTTTGAGATGCTGCAGGAATATCACATATTTAATTTAAAAAATCAGTAACTTACTCCAGAGAAAAGTTGGGTATGTTCTCCAAACCACTGTCCGCATGTCCAACAGGTTCAACACGACTGTTGTCTTCTATCCCATCCTCATCCTAAGAGCACAACACAAAGAATAGCACACTCTGTGTTAGATCTGTTCCTAAAATATGAAAGAAAGCTGGATAAAACTGGAGACTGGCAGGCATTAAGATCATGTTATAACTAGGTATTTTCTCTACTGAAGATGACTTTTAATAATTAGATGGATATGTATATATGAAAAGTTGCATTTCAAAGCAATAGTCAACTGATTTAGCATTTCTCAGGAGGTGAAAAAGATACCAATGTAATAAGAAAACATTAAAACTTCTAATTAACGTTAACTTTTATCATCTTTACTTCTGATTTATAAACAGGCTAAGAGGCTCTTGTAAGCTTTACCTTGGACCACAGTGTTTTGGGCACCCACTAGATATTCTGTAAATACTTTGCTAATAAAAACAAAATCACACCTAAATACAATTTACTGAATTTAATTCTTGGAAGTTTATGTATATAATTAATGTACACAAATAATCTGTGAAGTTTATCCTTTCTATCACATGAATTAGGTAACAGTAATTTTATACGTGAACTTATACAACTACCTATATGATAGTCCATCATAAGCAAAAATTTTATATGTTTAAACATGTATTTGAGAGACTCATAATAGAAATGTGTATGTTGTCAATAGAGACATCCATCAATAAAATGATAAGCAAAGCTTATGACACAGTGTCAAAATATTACAAATTACTGAAGCAATATTAAGGCAAAGTAAAGCAGTTGCAAATGTCAACTGACATTTCCTCTGAGAATCAAATTTCTCTGAGTTGTACCAGTAGATGGGATCATATACCACAAAAGTATCTTTTCCTTTGGGATTGGGAATAGAGGAGGAGAGCAAAGTGACTGTTTATAAATCAGATGAAAAACATAATCTTACAATTAAAGGTACTTTGGTCCAGTATTTATGAATAATTTAAGCACCACTGAAATGCCACCACAATATTTGAAACATCTATGTTGCACTAAGAAAAGCAGTCACATAAACGATATGCCCCAAACCACAGCGGTAAACAGTTACTGATAATCTGTGCCCACAGTGGCCATTATCAGGCCTCCTAAAATGTGTAGAATATTATTTTATGAAGCTTCATATGATGTTCAGTTTAGATTGCAATACCCACTGACCTGAAGTTGGGCTGCAATTGTGGTGGGAGCCACAACTTAGAATTTACCAATTTTTGGATGTGGAAATATTAATTCCTATATTGCTTTAGTTCTTGTTTTATACATTTAAAAAGCAGTTTCTGAACTAGTTAATTTTAACAAGAGTTATACATTGAATTCCGTTATAAGCAGTCCAATAGTCCTCACTGATCTGAAGGGGGTGCATTCCAAGACCCTCAGTGGGTGCCCAATACCACAGAAAGTTCCAATGCTATTTATACTACTAGAGGCCCATTGCACAAAATTCGTGCACTGAGGGTGGGTGTGTCCCACAGACCAGCCTGTACCCTCTCCAATCTGGGACCCCTTGGGGGATATCCCTCTCAAAATCCGAAACTGCTGGCTCTTAATCACTCACCTGCCTGCTTGCCTGATTGCCCTTAACTACTCCTGATTGCCCCTAACTGCCTGCCAATCTGATCATCCCCTAACTGCTCCCCTGCCAGCCTGATTGACACCTAACTGCTTCCCTGCTAGCCTGATCTCCCCCAACTGCCCAACTGCTGCCATCTGCCTTCCCCTGCTGGCCATCTCTGACCACGTGGGGGTGGCCATCATATGACAATGTGGTGGTGGTCATCTTGTGATGACCTAGGGGTGGCAATCTTATGAGGGCATGAGGGTCAATTTGCATATTACCTCTTTATTATATAGGATGTTTTTTGCCTATAAATATATCTACACTAATAAAAAGAGAAATATGCAGATTTCCTATCACTTTGTGATACTCACAGCCAATCAGGAATATGCAAATTAACGAAACAAAGATGGTGGTGGCCACGCCCCCAAGCTGCTCTGGGTCTCTGGGCAGCATGCACACAGGTGTGGAGGGACGGGGTGGGGTGGGATGCCTGCTATGAGGGAGAGAATGGGGGTCAGAGGGAGCTACAGAAGCAGTGCTCTGGCTGGAGCGAATACTGAAGGCTCCAGCCGCAGCAGAGACTGAAGACTCCGACTGGAGCAGACGGAAGGCAGTGGCCAGAGCAAAGGCCTGGGTCCCGGGTGCCAGAGGAAAACTGTGCCGGCAGCCAGGGGAAGAAAGGCCTATACACAGATCTTCGTGCAACAGGCCTCTAGTATCTATGATAAAATTCAAGTTATATAGTACAGTAAGAAATTAATAAAAATAATAAAACAATCAAAACAATCAAAATAACTGTAATTATATGAATGTGGACACCCTCCCCTCACATAAGGGATCTGGTAAGTGCCTAACGGGCAAGGTGAGTATATAGCTGGGCAAAGGAGTGAGTCTGTCCCAAGGGGGGGAAAATGTGAAGACCCACAACTTAAAATTATAAATTATTTATTTATAGAGTCTTCCATTTAATATTTTTGTACTGCTATTGACAGTGAGTTAATGAAACCATGGAAAGCAAAACCCTGGGTAAAGGATTACTGTAAATGAATATTGGTGTTATTTATGTCAAATTAATAGTGAAGGCCCATAGTATTAATATAAACTACACAATGTTTAAAAATATCTCCATGTGAGCTGATATAGTCAATATACTTTTAAATGCTTTCCCTTTCCTCCATTTTTTAGCAAGCTGTAGTGGTTAAGAGCTTGGATTAGAAAACTAAACAGCCCTGGGTTTCAATGCCATCTCTACCATATGCTAATACAGCCCTTCTATATTTCTATCCCTCCTTCTTCTGTAAAATAGAATATTCTTCAAAAGACAACTGAGAGGATAAAATGGCACCTGACACACAGTAATTGCCCAATAAGTGTTAACTATTATTGAAAAGAAAAATAGATGACATATAAAATATACCTCAATAAATATTTTATAGTAACTTTACACAACTACAAGATATTTTAAGAATACATATTCATCCATTTATACTCTGTGCCTTGCAATACAATATTAAACATATTACACCTACTCAAATACATCATTGTAGCATCTATATTCTAGAAACTTGCATAAAACCCGATATTTGTTGTGCTTTACTGCACACAAAGTAATTTCATTGTAAAATGCCTGTAGAATAGTCCTGGCTGGCTTGTCTCAGTGAATAGAGCACTGGCCTGAGAACTGAAGGGTCCTGAGTTCGATTGTGGTCAAGAGCACATGCCTGGGTTGCGGGCTCAATCCAAATCTAAGGGAGTACACGAGGCAGCTGATCAATAATTCTCTCTCATCACTGATGTTTCTCTCTCCCCCTCCCTCTCCCTTCTTCTCCAAAATCAAAGGAAATATATTTTTTAAGAAGCCTTTGGAATTAAAAAACACATTAAAATATAAGCAAACAAATACTGTGTCACAATCAAGTAAATGGCAGGAGGAGGAAAACACTATGGGTGACTAGTTGAAGAAATTTTCAAACAGAAAATAGATTCAAGGGCTGAAAAAGGTCTAGGATTTCACCCAACATGGAAAGTCCTAAGTTAGCCTGCCTTGGCTCTATGTATGCTTGCTTAAGAAACAAAACTTGAGATAAAGAAATGTTTATCCAGCGATAGCATTAGTCAGAGTATCATCCTTTTCTGCACTGGTTCTTCAAGCTAAAATTTTCACAAGGTGATGTGAAGAGGGCAAGGGAACACTGGCACACACAGAAGAAATATGAGTTTATGGAATGAGAATCTCAGACAGGTAGTAAGCATGCCTGCTCAATCCTATAGAGGGAGAGATTGCCTGTCTTCCAAGGCTGTTTCCTATACCCACATCCTTAAAGAGTCATTCAGAACAAGAAGTATGAAGATGTAAAAGAACTACAGAGAATTATCTCCCAACAACAGAGTTTAACCTATGTATTTTTATATGGCAGCATTTATATGATTAATAATGAAATAAACTTAGGAATTGCAATAAGAAATGCCCTAAGATAATGTCTTCATTATTAGGAACTAACAATAATATTAAATCTTATGAGATAAAAGAAGTATCACTCCTAAATCAAGAAAAAAAAATTATCTTTCAGTTAGAGCTCTACATTCAACCAAAAAACAAAAAATAAATGAGAAAGTTGAAAAATATTTTTCAGACATGCAAAAACTTTACTTCCCATAGGCTCTTTCATAAGAAGCTATATTTGAATCTGCTCCAACAACATCCAGGGAATTCAATAAAATAATAGAACCCAAGGAAAGTCCCAGAATATAGTGAAAAGGCAGCCTAGAGAACCAGAAACCAGTTCAGACAAGAACAGCAGAATGGAGAAATGCTGGATATCAATCTCCATGAGAAGAAAAAAAAAAAAAATTAGTAATTGGTTTCTTATTTTTTAACAGTTAGGACATACTTTGACACAGAATATGTACAGTGTGTGAGAGAAAAGTAAAGATATGTACAGAGAAAACAAAACAAAATTTTAAAAAATCAAAAAAATTACCTCCAGGAACAACAAAAGAAAATGTGTAAGAGGGAATTTATACAGAGTTCCCAATTAGTTACTCAGTGGGCAATTCCTACAAAACAAATTATATTATTGACTTAGACTTTTGATGTAACAATACTGAAAGGATATGAACATGTAGAGGGAAAGTGGCATAAAAGGAAAAGCTCTAATCTTCCACAATAACCAGTCAACAGATGCCATAAATGGTTTATTTAGAAACAAGCAAGTAAATATCAGAGCAAACACCTGCATCCATTTAAATTTGTAGTCTCTAGACAGAGGGCCCAGGAACAAGAAGAGTATAACAGAGACACCTAGTTTTTATTTATGCTATTCTGACTACATATTTGAAAACCTAACAAGGGTGGAAAGGGATCTATGATACAACTAAACATCCAGACTCTTGAGACCCCTATAGTGTACCTGGCATCAGATTTACTTCAAAGGTAAGTCAAGAAACCCAACTTGCTAGCAAGGCATCAGCCTTCTT